AGCAGAATGGTTGTCATTATGTGGGGACATTAGAGTTGGAGGTGAGTCTGAAGACACATTCGGTGAGAAAAGGAGGCAGTAAAGTATGAAATTACCTTCACCCTGCATGATCTTTGCCCCCCTGAGCTGTGGGAAGGAGGACAATGCTGTGGAAAGAAATCATTTATCTTGTTGTAGCCTGTTGAATTATAAAGGGTCTTTTTCCATTTTTCTTTTTCGTTGCTGCGACTGTGTGGTCTGTATTGTTTTTACTCCGAGCCTCTGTGGGAGTCTTGTGTGTCATCAGGGCAAAATGTGTCTCAGGAGCATAAAAATAGCACTGTCACAGCTTTGTAAAATTTTGCATTTACCAACATCTCAGCATCAAATTTGTTTTCAGCATAGAGGCAAACCTTTGAAATATTTATTCACATTTGAGAATTAAAGAAACAACGGCCGTTTCTCAATAACCTGACTCCGCCAGATGGATTTGCTCCGCATATCCATCTGGAAACCTTCCCTTGAAGTAATTTTGGGAAGGGGCGAAAATACTGGTTAGCTGATTGGCCTATGTTGGTGATAGGCGGGCCAAATAAACCAATCAGATCAACGAAGCATACGACGTACTAACAGAGCGACGACGAAAACACAACCACAAGCCAGGCTACTCTTGCCGAAACCAGTCGGGAGAAGAGCAAATATATATTTAGTCAAGCTAGAGAATGTCAATATGGCCAGAAGGCGTTCAGTGCTCAGAGACAGCCAAGGTAACGAAGGCTGAAACCAGAATGCCACTGAACAAGACATGGAATTCGAAACATCCATATTGGGCCAAGACATATCTGAAGAAAAGTTTTTCAAAGATAGAGGATTTGTTTTGCAATTTTACAAGCAGATTATGAATCTATTAATAAGTAGAACTTGGGAGTTATAGTTAACTAATATGTAATTCAAATCAAGGGTAAAACCAAATAATTATATAGAGAATTTAGAGGAGTCTCTACCTTTCTGATCGATGATATAAATCTAATATAAAAGTATTCTTGCAGACTGTAATGAGTCAAAATGCAAAAGAAATCAGAACCTGATCACATATACTACCGTTCAAAAGTTTGGGGTCACACATTTCCTTATTTTTTAAGAAAAAGCACTGCACTTTTCAATGAGGATAACTTTAAACTAGTCTTAACTTTAAAGAAATACACTCAATACATTGCTAATGTGGTAAATGACTATTCTACTTATTGTGCTGTCCTCTGAAGGGAGTTGTACACACTATTGTAGGAAATCTTCAATTTCTTAGCAATTTCTCGCATGGAATAGCCTTCATTTCTAAGAACAAGAATAGACTGTCGATTTTCAGATGAAAGTTCTCTTTTTCTGGCCATTTTGAGCGTTTAATTGACCCCACAAATGTGATGCTCTAGAAATCTGCTCAAAAGAAGGTCAGTTTTGTAGCTTCTGTGACGAGCTAAACTGTTTTCAGATGTGTGAACATGATTGCACAATTAATCACCAATTAGCCTTCTGAGCCAACGAGGAAACACATTGTACCATTAGAACACTGGAGTGATAGTTGCTGGAAATGAGCCTCTAAACACCTATTTAGGTATTGCACCAAAAAGCAGACATTTGCAGCTAGAATAGTCATTTACCACATTAGCAATATATAGAGTGTATTTCTTTAAAGTTAAGACTAGTTTAAAGTTATCTTCATTGAAAAGTAAAGTGCTTTTCCTTCAAAAACCATAACATTTCAATGTGACCCCCAACGGTAGTGTATATTACCCTGAGAATAGATGCAAACCAACAAGGAAATATTTCCATTGAATATTAGAAAAATAAAACATTGAGATAATTAGTAAAAAGGGAGAGAAAAAGTCATATTTGCCTTGGATGGATTCTGTGAATGATTGGCTTAAGGTTGCAAACCAACCGATAATTAAAAGTGGACTAAAAGCTGTACTCAAGGTCAAACTACATTCTGTAAAATATTTTAATTATGTGCTAACCTTCTATAAAATAAAGCCAGAAAAACAGAAACTTCAACCTGACTGAAAAAAACCCACACATTCAGGACCTTGAATGACAGTTAAAACCCCATAAAAGTTTTCTTTTCTATTTCATCTCATTACAAACACAAACTAGTTCATTTTAATGAGATTTTACGTAATGATAAATTATTAAAACTCAAGAGAGATGCATTAGTTACAGTCGATAAAAAATAATAAGCGAAAAACTGTATCTGATAAAAGACTCTGTCGTAATTAAGGTCAGTCGATCCTCTTTCATCTAAAGCCATTCAGGTTTTAGGCTTTGCCATTTTTTCAGCAAACCCATGAAGCAAATTGCAATAAATGGCGACTGCTTGTTAGTTCAAATGAGTCTGCTTGTTGCACTTTCAGCACAAATTGCTGTTTTAAATCAACATCCAACCCAGTTTCCCCCTATAGTGACCAGGAAAGAAAAATATTTTAAAGGTATTTTTAACTTTACTACATTAACATGAAATATTATACAGGAAAATATACATAATGGAAATTAAATGTTGGCGATCATCTCATTAAAGCTCTCAGAACATCATGCAGAATAAGCAATAGAATGAGAATGTTCAGCAGGTCTGGCGTTTAAAGGAAATATTTGAATAAAGCTGAAAGCTCTCAGCATGATTAAAGCCAAATCTCTGGGGGTTTCTCTACATCGAATGTTTAAAATATATATTTCCAGGCTAGTTGCATCAGGCTAAGAGCAGCTTTAAAAAAAAAATAGACTGAAAACTGTACCTTCAGTGAACTCTCTCATTACTCACAGAGGATGGAAAGCTGCAAAGGAAATAACACATAATGTAATAAATAAAACAAAATAAAATGTTATGCGAGTAGTAGGTTATTTAGTCTATCCTTGCATCAATCTATCTCTGTTGAGCAAAAGGAAAAGATGAAGATAAACATATAGCTAGAGCTACCATAGACTAAGCAATCAAATGGACCAGTCGAAGCCCAAATTAGCGAAGTGCAGTGGAGCCGAAAGATGCATCAAAACATAATCCTGTCATATCAGTCTATTGATAATTACTGATTAGTCGTTTTAATCTATTTGAAATAAGGACATGGGGGGCTGAAGAAATTAGGTCTCTAACCCTATTTAAACGTAACCTTTAACCTTTGAAAAGAGTTTAACCCTATCTTCGGTAAGGGTGTGCAAAATAATCGTCATAACGATGCATCACGATTCTAATTTTTGTGATCTACTGCATTGATTCTTGAAGGCAAGAATCGATTATATGAATAAAAAAAACGAACAAATAAAATTAGTGTTGCGCCGATGCCATTTTTTGGCCCCGATACCGATACCTGGCTGTGCAGTATCGGCCGATACCGATACCAAAATAATGTAAAATAATTGCCATCATGGCTTTGTCAAGCTGCTGCCTACCTTTGTGCAGCAGGAAAAAATCTAATACAAAGTGAATCCAGTAGAACTTTTTATTGCCTACCTGGAGTGGGTGACAATAGTTGAATAACCTTATGGCTCTCAAAATGGTATCGGTGCCCTATTTGTTGGTACTCGCCGATACCGATACCACCATTTTAGGGCAGTATCAGGGCCCGTCCGATACTGGTATCGGTATCGGTGCAACACTAAATAAAATACATGAATGGTTGGCGCACATCAGCCAAACCAAGTGGAATACAACTTCCAGTCCAGCAGCTGTCGCTGCGGATGTGTTGACGCCCGCTGCCTTGTGTCACAAGCATTTCCGGCCGTGGGATACTGCGACGAGTCATATGAAATAAAACATGGAGGACACTATGAAAATTCGCCCCCCGACTCCATCACATTTCAAGTCAGATGCTTGGATGCATTTTGGCTTTAAAAACAAAGAAGGTAAAAACTAAATTGATATGATGCACGTCATTTGCAAAAGGTTAAATGTACATTTGAATGTTTTCATTTCATTGGTTTAAAAGACCACTGAGGCCATGTAAACATACTGATTATCCTTATTTTGTTATTTTAAATTTAATGAATCCCAAGATCTTTTTGTCAGTGTGTCCACGCCAGTAATAGTAATATTTCTGTCCAGGATTTGTTTTCATGGCAACACCTCCAAAAGTCGTTTCAATAAATACATCTATGTATGAATTCAGTTGCTTTCAGTTATGTATCCATTGAAGACACTATCCAGATCATAAGCAGCCAGTCAGCCACTAGTAAGGGCTGGATCTTTTTCTTGCAGTGTTCAGTGGAAATATCGCGATGCATCGCAATATTTCAAGTATCATGATGCATCGTGATAGAATCGCATCGTGGCATGTGAATCGTGATTCAAATCGAATCATGACTTCTTTGCCAATACTCACCTCTAATCTTCGGCTCAATCCGAGTCCATGAAATTGTAGCTCCTATCCTGTAGCTCCTATCCCTTACCTTTAAAGAGTAAACGGTAAATTTCTCTAGGGAGCAAACTGCTTTATGCTGCATTTCTTCCACATTTCCAGCTGGTGTCCTCCATATAAACCTTTAAGAGAATAACATCAGAGCTGCGCTGCTAGTTTTGATCAGCCTCACTGTGACCTGCACAGTCAACAGAGGTGAGTAATGTTCTATCAGCCTCTGAGCATACAAGAAATAGTCAGTAAAAGTAAAATAAAGTTTAAATTTCTCTTTTTTTAAACCTCAACAGGCTGGAATCTCATCCAAAATTTATAATAAGGGTTCAACTGAACAGCAAAACTCGTATCCAGAAATATTAAAGAGGGGAGAATAAGTAAGCAGAGCTCTGAACGTCTACTGGGTGCAGATCCTGTGCAATGAAGTTTCTGAAATTAAAGTATTTTACTGTATTCCCATTTTTCTGAGAAAACTTGACTGCAGCCAAATTCATCATAAACTTTTAAGTTTTTGTTTCAGGTTGAAATGTATTTTAATAAATTTCAGAAAAGGGCCAACTGAAACAGGATAGATGGGGCAAATTTAGGCTAAAATATACACAGAGAAATAATTGTCTAAAAAAGGGAAATGAGACGGAAACCTTTTAGAAACCAAATTGAAACAGAAATAAAAGCTGCAGCATAAACATGTCCCATCAACGCCTCAAACTGGATTTAAATTAAGAGTTAAAAGGAACAGCCGTCATTTCAAACAATCTATTTTCAATTTACAGCAGCAAAGATTGCTCACGTTTTCTGTTTTTCATATGAACTCATCACAGACTGAGGAAATAGGCAGTTCTGGAGTTAAACCATCAAAAATCAATCAGTCCGGGATTCGTTCCTCTGCACTGACTGAATAAAACCTACGGCAAACATATGCATTACTCTCTGATGCTTCTAGTCTCTTTGTGGTTCCACCCAGTCCCAGACGTGGACCGACCCGTCTGAAGCTGCAGACAGCAGAGTCCTGGGACGCTCAGGATGCCAGGCGTGGGAGGTGATGAAGGTGGGGACGGAGTCGGCGGCGTGTGGCGAAGAAAGGGCGTGACCGCTGTGCTGAAACAGTGGCTGAGCGTCCTGCAGCTCCGTCCTCCATCCACGGGTGTCGTAGATCTGAATGAGTCCGCTGAAACCTGGAGAGGCAGGTGAGAAATTCTCATCAGAGGAGTTTCTACATAACTCTAAGACTTCTGGCTGTTTAGTGAAACTAAAGCATCAGAAAAAACTCCAACAGCTTCTTTTTTGTTAAAGACTCTGAAACTGAACACCAAGCAGTTTTCTAGCTACTAGTTTTTAAATTAAACGATTGATTTTAAAGAGAGAATTAATCCACAGAACAACTAAAGTGGTGCAGAATAAAAGTATTAACTGGGGGGAAAATAGTATACTATTTATTATATTATATTTACTTCTGCTTATGATGCCGACATCCACATCAAAGGACTGCAGAACATAGCGCTAAAAGTCGAGTGATATGGATTATAAATCCGATTTAGCGATTTTTTTTATTTCTCGTTTCTCTTCAGTTTTATAACAAAAATGACAAATTAGTCATACTGCATCTAAAAACCTGTGGGAGGTTTTCTTAATTTTTTTTCTAATTTAACTTTTATTTAACCAGGAAAAATAAATCCCACTGAGTTTAAAAACCTCTTTTTCATGGGAGTCCTGGTCAAGATGCAGCAAAGTTACATAATAAACAGAGATACATTAAATTAAATGACAGGTACATAAAAAAAAACATATCAAGTAAAACAATTACAGATCATTGAGGCTGCTTCAAATTCTTTCACTTTCAACTTAAAAGCATTTAAAGATAAAAACTCAGTAAACTTCTAGTACTTTCTTTGTAAAAAAAAATAAAAAATTCCCCCCACAAGAAGCTGCGTAGCTAAAGGCTTTCTTCCCTAATTTTGTGCGGGAAAAAGGAACAGTGAGCAACGTTGGATCTCAAGGCATAAGAAGCCATGCTTTTCTGTCTAAGTAAGGTATAAATGTAACAAGGCAGTAATCCAAGAAAGGCCTTGTAAATAAAAGTGTAGAGGGAAGCCCTATGGCAAGCCGTTTTAACATACATTCGGTTGTACCGGCTTTACATTCAAGATATCTGAAATTGTTTTATGACTAGACATTTTAGCGATTTAAGATATCTCTAATGACATTCTGACTAGTCGAAATGACGTCAGATTTACCATTAACATCTAGATATGAGATATCTAGAATGAATGACTGACTATCTCTAATACAAATTTCAGATATCTACGATTAAATTAAGACTAGTCATAAAGTAATTTCAAGATATCTCGATTTAGTCATAATTCTACTTAAAGCTGCAGTCTGTAACATTGAGAAGAGAGCAGACTTCGACTGAAAATTTGAAGAAAAACAGGTTTCACGCCACTCCCCCACCCTCTCTGCTTCACTCATGCCCCACCTCCAAGCTCCACCCCTCTCACAGCATCTGCGCGGCTACCGCATGCGACCAGGAGCGGGGGCGGGATTTAGCGTGTGTGAGCTGTGATTGACACTCCATCAGACGCTCCTCCGGCTGTGATTGGTTGTTTTGACTCGTCCCGAATTATTCTTTCCAGATTGAAATACAGGCCGTAGGCGGGACCAATTGAAGCAGTTTTTTTTCGCAGGTTACATATCACATGAACTGCTGTCTGGGCATAGGGACAGTTTTAGCGTATATGACAAAAAAGTGATTTTTAAAAACTTACAGACTTCAGCTTTAAAGACATCTCAAATGCCACCATAATTCATGATATCTTAAATGTATTTTAGGATAGGAGATATGCAGTTTTCACTAGTAAAAACTCAATTATAGATATCTTAAAAGCAAATAATGACTAGACAAAACAAATTTAAAGATATCTTGAATTGTAATTTTGACTATTCGAAATTCCTTTTAAGATATCTCTAAATGAATTAAAGATATCTTTAATTATTTAGCTTTTCCATTAAAGATATCTTAAATGGACATTCTGACTAGTCAAAATGTGTAATGATCTTTTTAATGGGCTTCCAGAAGGATCATTCCTAAAAAAATTCCTTACTGTCAGTTTAATCCAAAGGAGGAAAAGTCAAATCAGTGTGTTACGCTTTAAATGATAAATCCGGTGTCGTAATTTGAGATATCTTGAAAGGAATTTTTACTAGGCAAAATGTGGTTTTGTCTAGTCAAAATGTATTTTAAGATATCTGGAACGTAATTATGGATGGTCAGACAAAACCGAATTAATGTTAAAAAGGCTTGCCATAGGGGGCCATCCCACCTGAGAGTACAGGTGACAGTGATGTCATGGCTCTACAGTTTATGATGAATCTTAATGAAGCATGGTAAACAGAGTCCAACATCTGAACACATGAAGCAGCAGCATTCTTATAAAAAAAAAAAAAAAAGGTCACCATAATCTATTTTAAAGAGGAACAAAGTTCAAGCAGTGAAAAATGCTGTAAAACAATCATGTTTCACAAGAATGAAAGTAAAAGAAAGTTACTCCAATCAGCCGAGACGGTTCTGCCAAATGTCCCTTTAAGGGCCTAATTTGGCTCCTAATTGGCTGCAAAAATGAAGACTGTCAGAGAAATTAATAATAAAGTGATTCTGGACTCTCTGAAAATAAAAACCAACATCAAGAGGTTCCTGTTTTCCAAAAGAAGAGCTCAACTTTAGTTATAAAAATACTCGCTGAGTTGACTACATACAAACTGAAATATAACCATTAATTTTCTAGAAGGAAACCTGTTTTACTCAGACCTTCCACAGCAGCTGTACATTGTTCTTATTACAGCAGGAGGCTGACCTGACTGAAAGGAGAAGAGGTCCTAAACAAAAACATAGTAATAAAATAGGATATATCTACCATCTGTGATCATAAGCCAGATTTCAACAACATTCATGATTTCGTATATAATGAATTAATTAAATACTGTGTAGAACCTAATTTGAGGGCTACATTTTATTAATCTGGCTTAAGAGGTTAACAGTATTCAGATTAAAGGCCCAAAAAAAGCCAAAGAAAACGAAGGAGTGTTGGCACCGACTTAAAAAAGAAAAGGAGCTCAGCAGACATTAGGAAGTTGTCTCTTTCTGAACAAATAAATCAAATGTTAGCTAATGCTAAACTTTGGTTACCGGACCTCGAAACTGACTTTTAAACAGTACAAGAGCAGGGTAGAGTAAATGTGCGACTTCCACGCCTGGAAGAGTTAAACTTGTAGCTATCTCCTTTAAAACCCAAATTTCATTTAAAAGTTCTAACATGAACCCAGAACAGAACAAATGTGTTTCTAGATGAGTTTAGTTAAATGTCACAGTGAGCAGAAATTCATCCTTTTTATAATAGACGGAAAACTAAGTTGATTCTGATGCATTATTTAAACTTGTTCTTCATGATTCAATCCCTTAAGTCATGGTGACATTAGAAATATACATCAGAGATGCTATTAGACTAAATATCACCTGCATTTCAAGCTTTTTCCTCCTAATTTTTCTGAATAAAAATCTTTTTTTTTAAAACCTGAATCAGAAAGCAGATTTCTTTAATGCCGAATCATCCATGAATGACGCAAGTAAAAATTATTTTTATGAGGGAAAAAATCCCATTCCAATATGAATGAAAAGTTAAAGTCATTGCAGGTATTTTACCTTCAAATTTTGAGGGATTAACTAAAACCTCCGTCTGTTTTAAGTTTGTTTAATCATGCTTCCCCAAGATCTCCAAATGTGGAAAAACTGATTAGATGAAATGAAAATTTCCAAACCAGAAAAATTTAATTAGCCCAACCAGAACACTCCAGTTGATGGTAAATTTCAGAGCATTTACAATGTGTGAAGAAACTGACCTGAGACCGAGAAGCACCCGTCCAGCACCGGAGCCCACCACACGGTGACATCACATGGTCTGCATGGAGCCATCTGGATGTCCAGGCGGGCCGTACACACAGGTTCTTCCAGGTTCCTCAGGTCTGAAACGACCGCCTGACCCGAGGAGGAAAGCCTGAGGACCTTACAGCAGGACTGCGGAGCGGCAGAGGCGTCCGTCCACCACTGCAGCGATTCACCTGAAGGTGGAGCTGAAACCTGAGGAGCAGCGGACGTCCGAGTGTCTGCCATGTAAACGCTCCCGTTACAGCAGCTGGCGAGGAAGACGGTGTCTCCCACAAACTTTAAGGCACTCAGAGGTTCTGTCGAGTCGGTCTCTGTTGGAAAAGTGACAGAAGAAAACCTAATTAAAGACCCCAGAAGCTGAAGGTTCCCAAGCAGCAGCTGACTGTAGAGAATCTGCAGCTTACCCAGTTTATAGAGCGTCTGTCCTGAACTCAGATGGGTCAGCTGTACGCTGCTGCTCTGAGCCCCATGAAGGACTTGAGGTATTGCTGAGAGTGGAGCTGCAATCCTGCTGCCGGTTTGGGAAACACTGGACCCCTGGATGCTTCCTGTTCTCCTGATCACATCTGGAATAGAACATTTAACAGGATTCACACCCAGATTCTACTTTAATGAATATGAAACTGACACGTTAGCATTGTTGAGGTACTTGAGGGTGAATTACTCTGATTTGGTTCTGATTGCTAATTATTTTTAACCAAATCCTCCCAAAATCAGCAGCATTCTGTGTTAGATTTCCTCTACAGAAGGATGCAGTGCATCAAGACAAACAGGTTTTAATTTGCAGCATTGGTGTGTAAAGTATAGGTGAAACATTCAGGGCTGGTTATACTCCTGCAGCAGTATGTCGCAGATATTTTTGATTTATGCCCAAATTTAAAGCGTGGTCTGCTCTATGTTATTCCCCGCCACAACCCAAGAGGGACAATCAGGAACTAGCTGTGGGACAGATATGGCCAAGGCGGTGAGGGAGTGGGGGCAAGTTTGTGCAACAACGGAGGGACATGAGGGCGAAAGAGCGGGGATCCGGGTGGAAAAAGGTTCCCAGCGTTCTCTTGCACCTCGCTCTTCTAGCTGGTCCATCTTCACGAGTCGTTTTCCACAATGGTGGTCATACAAACAAAACAAGACGGTGATGTACCAAACAAGAAATACGCATAGTGTAGTGCAGACGACGTGGTTGTTGAGTATGAACCAGCCTTTATTCTACAGAAAATGATCCCTAAAATAACAGTAAATATGAAAGGTTGTTGAAGTATGAAGATCTGTAGGACCAACTGTGAGGGTAGGGTCACTAGGGATTGGAATCGAAAACCAATTCCTGTTCAGAACCGGTTCCGTGTGTTCCAATTCAATGGCATCGTTTGGCAGCTAGCTTAACGATTCTTTTAGCAATTCCAGGCAGCACAAGAGCCTAGCTCTGGGCAGCATGACTTGCGTCACATTTTTTACGCAAGTTACGCACACGGCATTCAGTAAGCAAGTACGACATGACCAGGCGTAAGTCGGGTAAAGCAATTGAAAGTTTGGCTTCATTTTAAGGAAGAGAAAGATGGCAACAACGCACTTTGCAGTCATTGCAAAGTGGCAATTACATCCGCAGGAGGAAATACATCCAACATGTAGAAACAGCTGCGCACACAACATGGCATACATTTTAACGAATGCCGTGTTTTTGATGCTTCCGGACAGAAGCTAAAGTTACGACCAGCATGGAAGGCAACTCTGGTGGCAAGTAGCTAGTTTTACATCACTGGCTGTGCTTAATGTGGTTCCTGGTAAATCTTATGCCATTTCTGGAAATAAACCAATTTCCTAGCTCTCTTTGGGGCTATTAAGGGAGTGAGCCTTTCTCGTTAATCCTGCCCTTCATTGCTAGCAAGTTTAATTAGAACTACAGGTTGCTGGAATTCTTACATGATTCTAGCTCTTGCAATGGATGTAACGAAACATGCTACGAAGTTGCTCCGCAGTTCAGGGAGCAAGAGAAAGGTGACGCTCCTTTATTTAAATCAGGGGGAGATGAGTTTATTTCCTGAATTTGTACAGTAATACTTTTTCATTAAACGGATGCCTTTGTAGCTGTGCCAATATATTGCATATTAAAAATTATTTTATTTCTAATTTTTTCATTTTGGTGAACATTCTCAAAACCTGTGAGTAATATTTTCCATGTTAAATCAGCGTTAAATTGAATTTTTTGTTTTCTTGTTCTGTGTCACCTGTTGTAGCGGGGGTGGTGGTGGTGGGGGGGGTGGACTTTAATTACTGGTACACAACAACGTGATAGTGGCGTGGCTCTATCTGCTGGGCAAAACTCTGCAAGCTTTTGCACTGGAGACTGAGAGAGCACTGTCCCCTGTGCACTGTGGTGAAATAAAAATGCGGATCCTGATTCCTGGTCTGAGTGGTGTCTTCCATTTTAAAGCAACCAGATTAAAGCCCCATTTACACTACCCTTGAACAACCGATCCATGACGAGACCGGTCCGAGCTCGGATCAGTTAACCAGGCCGAGCTCGGTTCTGACGACCGTTTACACATCACGCTATCTCGGTTCCTCGACTCCTCGCCTCCTAGTGACGATCTGCGGTATTACTGCCAGTATTGAAGGAGGAAATCAAGCAGTTGGTGGCAGTAATGCACCAAAAGTTGTTTGCCAACCGCCATAAAACACAAGAAGAAGAAGACGAAGAAGGAAGGAATCAAGCAAATCAAAATGGCGGTGCCCGTCATATTCAGAAAGTTATGCTTGATTATTATTTTTGTACTTCATTGTTATTATTTAAAATGCCATTATTTAAAATATTGCGTGGAGAAGATTTAGATTGTTGTTTACGGTTGACGAAGAAGTTGTTCTTCTTCTTCTCTTTCTGGCGGGGCATTACCGCCACCTACTGGAATGGAGTGTGAATCGGGATGTGCAGTCAGACGGAGATGACGCGTTCTGCTCATGCGCTCTTGTTATCAGAAAACCGAGCCAGGGAAAAACCGAGCCGAACCCACCTCTGGAACTGGTCTGCAGTTAGCTCGGTTCTGTTGTGTCTAGCTCGGTTCAGTTCAGTTTGCTTTCCATTTACACACAATAAGTTATCTCAGTTACTGAGCTCGGACCGGTCTCGGCACGGTTTTTCAAGGGTAGTGTAAATGGGGTAAAATCTGCTACCCCTTCCCCATGAGATTTAGATGACTGTGACAAGAATCAATAACGAATCAAATGGTTTCACAGAATCGATAAGGGATTCAAAATCGTGAAAATCTTATCAATTCCCAGCTCCATTCATCACACTGAGGCTGACATCTTTACAGGAAACCTGGACCTTCATGAAGATGAGGATTAAAGTTAGTTTTTTGTCTCTATAAAAAGCAAGGACACCTGGTGGCACCGGAGCTTTTAAACTGTTGAATATTTTCACCTTATAACTCTGCCTGAATGTCACAAATATTTAATAAATCATCAATGTGACCGTGATGGTTTCAGGGTTTTAAATGACGATAAGGTTTTCAATTAAAAATTTCTACCAGGTTAAATTAATTTGATCCGGATACAGTCCATCGACCTGCTGGGATTTATTCACAAGGATTTTTCTTCTAACAAAGAGCAGAATTTCCCTTCAGAGTCTTTTTTACATCTAATCTGTTTTATTTCCAGACGCACTGTGTAACTTTTTAACCAAGTATTACATTAATCTGAAATAAATTAAATGACTTTTCAGGTCATACTTTGGTTCTTTTTGTGTATCTAGGCCCCCTGACCTTCTGAAAAACCCACCTTATGTGAATGAGTCATGTGAGTCATGTGCTCCTCTACAGCGCTAACCAAGCTAACACTTGTTTGACCCTAACCTGATCGGTCATATTTTTGGTTTTCTGATGTAGGATTAAATCTAACAGGGTGAATGCAGCCTTGTCCTTTTAAAGAACTCCATGACTGCTCGGTCTGGAGCTCCATAGTAGTCTGATATCAGAGTTTCAAAACACGGAGGGAGACTGGTTCATTTTGACAGTTCAGTACTGCCAGTAGGGCTGCTAAGTAACGCAGCAAGATGTTCCGGGTTCAAATCCCGACCCGGGATTTCTGCATGGAGTTTGCATGTTCTCTCCGGGTACTCCAGCTTCCTCCCACGGTCCAAAAACGTGACTGTTATGTTAATTGGCTTTTCTAAATTCTCCTTAGGTGTGAGTGTGTGCGTGAATGGTTGTCTTTGTTGCGCTGCAATAGACTGGCGACCTGTTTAGACCTGTTTAGACAACCGTAGACAGCTGGAGATAGGCACCAGCACCCCTCGTGACCCCACTTGGGATAAGTGTGAAACTGGATGGATGGATGGATGGATGGATGGATGGATGGATGGATGGATGGATGGATGGATGGATGGATGGATGGTGCTGATAGAAGGTTCCTGGGAAAATAATGAAGCTTGTTCTGTTATTTTTACACCCAAATAACAAGTTTGTACGGAGCCCCTAAAGGGACATGGAGGGGAAAAAAAGAACTTTAGCGAGATCCCGCAATAGTTTCGCGAAATCTCGCAAAAGTTTACTTTTGGAAAGATCTCGCAAAAGTTTTTTTATTTCCCTCCATGTCCTTTTAGGGGCTCCATAGCATTGCATACTGACCTTGTCTCTCTTCATTCATGTAATGTCGTGTTTTGGGACTTCTCTAGAAATTAAGAACCACTCCAAATCATCCTCCATGGTTGTATCTGACACATGGGCGTATTATCCTCCCATAGTAGTACGCTTTGCACCTCCACTGTTGTGTGTCTGTTTTATTTCCGGTTAGCTGACATGGCAAAACGTTTTGCGAGATATCGCAAAAGTATTGCGGGATCTCGCAAAAGCTTATTTTTTGCGAGATGTCGCAAAAGTAATGTGGGATCTCACAAAAGTTTATTTTTTTCCTCCATGTCCCTTTAGGGGCTCCGTATGTTTTGTAAATAGAAATGAAAATAAAATATAATCCGGAACTTTGGAAACCACTTCTTAATCAAAACAGGTTAACTATGCTTTTTATCTGGGATATTTTTTCATTACCTATTTAATATTTCACTTTTTCAAACTTTACATTTATTTATTTTATTTTTTTCAGATTTCTTTTTGAGCCTGGATTTTACAAATGACCTTATTTTCAAATTTTGTTTTTTTTTACCCTCAACAAATTTCTTGATTAAGATATTTCTCAATGTTTCGTTACTGGATTGAGATCGAGCAGAAGAGTGCTGCAGTTCTGTGTTTTGGCCACAGGTGGCAGCATCATTAGAAAACTGCCTCTTTAAACTTGTTAGTTACAGCTCTAGCGCCCCTAGTGGGTGAAAGTTAACGAGTGTCCCTTTAAACTGCTTTCTGTGGCCTTATCTTGTACAGATATACATTAAAGAAGCGATTTCTTGTAATAAAATCTGTTCAACATCCCTGTCTGATGAAACAGAACTACTTTTCAGTGCATCAAAGACAAAAAAAAACATTCCTGTGATGAATAAGACTAAATAATCTAAAACATGTACCGGTACATTAAAATTCCTGAAGATGATTAAACTAATTTGTTTTATTCAAGCTGCATCAGTGAGGACATTATATTTAACTCACCACTGTCGTCTCCTCCCAGGTCCCAGAGCTGCAGGTCAGAGCTCTGCCCGTCGTTGGTCACCATGTACCTGATGGAGCATCAGGGTCATTTAAATCATGGGGTCATCTACAGAACTCCTCTGGAGTAAAGAGGAAAACTTCAAAGCAAAGCGGTTCTGGCTCTTCAAATTGTTTTTTCTTTCTATCTTTAGGATGTTTAAAACTTAAAAATTTACAGCTGCATGGCTGGATTTAGATTTTCACAAATTTATTTAGATCAGCTCATATAAGTGAGATGCTAACGTAAGGCAAGGCAAGGCAGCTTTATTTGTATAGCACATTTCAGCAACAGGGCAATTCAAAGTGCTTTATATAAAATCAGTTAAAAAAATAAATAAGCATAGCAGAAACAGAACACACAAGAAACACAAGAATAAAAATGACAGTGCAGTATAAAAGATTAAACAGAAAAGAAATGAACGCCATTTAGAGAAAGGCAACATCAAAAAGAAAGGTCTTCAGCACTGATTTAAAAGAACTGAGAGTAACAGCGGACCTGCAGGTTTCTGGGAGTTTATTCCAGATGTGAGGACCATAGAAACTGAAAGCTGCTTCCCCCTGTTTAGTTCTGACCCTAGGAACAGAAAGTAGACCTGTCCAAGATGACCTTAGAGGTCTGGGGGGGTCATAGTGTACTAGCAGGTCAGAAATGTAAACCGTTTAGTGATTTATAAACTAGCAAAAGTACTTTGAAATCAATTCTTTGAGACACAGGAAGCCAATGTAAGGACTTCAGAACTGGAGTGATGTGATCTAGTCTCTTGGTCTTAGTGAGGACTCGAGCAGCAGCATTCTGAATCAGCTGTAGCTGTCTGATAGATTTTTTTTTGGGAGACCTGTAAAGACCCCGTTACAGTAGTCAAGTCTACTGAAGATGAAAGCATGGACAAGTTTTTCCAAGTCCTGTTGACACATAAGTCCTTTAACCCTTGATATATTCTTAAGGTGATAATAGGCTGACTTTGTAATTGTCTTAATGTGGCTGTTAAAATTCAGGTCAGAGTCCATGACTACACCAAGATTTCTGGCTTTGTCTGTTGTTTTTAACATTGTTCCCATTGAGGATCAGAATTATTGTAAAAACTTGAGATGAAGCCAAATTAAGAGTCACAGTGGAGGGTGTCTAAAGAGCCAGCTGTGGTTGGAGACCCCTGATCTATAATAGATGCATCTCCATATGAGAACAGAGCTTTAAAAATAAGCAGGAGGTAGAAGTGTTTATCATGAGATATAAATGTTTATTTATCCCAACTTTACAATAAGTATAAAACAAACTGTCTAAAGAAATATTAAAAGTTTCTTTCATGGTTTGTTCATATTTCTGCTTCTGTTTGGATTTGATTTCTACTTAATAATGTCTTTGTTCCTCAGGATTAATCAATTTACTTTTGCTTCAAAGAAAATCCCAGGAGCTTTGAAGGCGTCTTCCTCCAGGGGAGGCACATCAGAGACTCAGACAGAACAAAGAACGCGGTCCGGCTCAGCAGATTGGGCTCTTTACGCCGCAGGTGTCACAACTCACCGGGTTCCTGGGACGTGTCTGAGGCAGCGAATGGGCCCTTCTGAGAAACCACCATGGACAACTTTGAAGTCCCTCTCTGCACAGAGACCCTGAACACAACACGCCACGCCGAAGCTTAGATCTATCTGGAGAGCCGTTTCATAACATCAAAGACAGTTTCAGTATCTTTGCTCCCCACCTTCTTTTCATCTGCCAAAAGTTTCAACGGCAAACAGAGTTCCAGGATTTCATTTTTAGACGAGTCGTATCCGGCAACGCAGACGGCTGAAAACAGAAGAAACTAAGACGTCAAATACAGAAATACTTACTCCGTTTGGCTTTTTAGGAAGAGAAAGAAAAAATAAAGGATAGACTAACATTTTTAGAAAAGCAAATTTGAAAAGTGTGGCTTGCATCCTTTTTCTTATGCCTCATATTAGTCGTCTGTTAACAGGAAAAAAACATAAAAAGCAGGAACCTGTCGATACATCATAAAGGAATCATTTATAAATCTATTGATTCAATCAATGAGATCAACCACCTTCATGGTTCGACTCTTTCTGCATGAAGACTGTTTCACATTAAGCTCTAACCAGTCAATGAAGCAGTGAATATCATTACCACCGTATCTAAATCCACTCACTCTTTCCGGACGTCCACTCGATGACACCGGTGGGATGTTCCAGCTGATACACATGAAGATCTTTGTATCTGTAGGAATCAAACAGTCAAGTTCCCATAGATTACCATAGAAACAAGGAAGCAGACGTTCCCAAAGTTTCCAAAAGAAAAATACCAAAGAGCTATAACTTTAGAAAACAATGACGCTACATCATTCTGGTCGGCTGACTGAATCTAACTGACTGCATCTGTGCAGCAAACAGAGCAGAAGTTTATAAATGAATGAGAGATTTAAATAGGGAAAAAAAAGTGTATCCTCATTTTATAATTTATGTTAAACTCATTTAAGTTTCCTAAAAAGAACGGGTACAGATGAAAATACCGGTAATATTCTTTCTAACGTTTCTAACAAAATGCAAACAATGCATAGATGCATATTTTGCTAGAATCTAAACTGTAGAAAATAGCTTATTAACCAGGAATGAAGCCTGTATGATTGTATTTATAAAAAAAAAAACTATGTTTCTCTGTTGCTTTCACAGGTAGCAACCAGAAGTAGGGATATCCTGGTCCGATATTTAAAATCATTCCGATATCAGCCAGAAAAAGAATATCAGAATATATCAGCCTGCATCTAAAATATGCAAATTAGCAAACAGACAAAAACACTCTGCTTCTATCAGCTTCTGCTTAAGGTTTCTGTGACCAATAGCTTTATAATAAATGGGTCAGTTGATGACTATTGTTCCTCGATCAGGTCTATATCAGTATCAGTCAGCACTCAAAGCTGCAATAGCTGGAAACTAAAACGTTTTGTCAGAAAATCTCGAACCAGAAGCTGCAACAAAGAAATAAAACCACTAAATTCACTGATCAAAGGTGTTAAAATCTCCATAACAAAATAATAAAAAAAAATATTTTGGGCTGTTTGTTGGTCTGGAGCACACAGGTATGTGTTAACACCCATACACAGAAACAATTGCTGTTATGCATTGATCCCAAAGGGTAATTTTCCCATCAATCTGTAGGAAATCATCTCGCAGACAGAAAAACATTCTAAGAGAAGAAAACATTTCAGACACCTGACAATGATCCCAGTAGGGATTGCTCTGAGAAAAGAAAGAAACCCTCAAAGAGCAAAACATGTTACCAGGTAAAGATTAGGAAAAAGACTGAACACGTTTGCCTTGTTTTGGAAAAAGTAAAGGAAAAAGCTTCTCCTCTCTGAAAATAACACGAAAGCTTGGCTTGTTTGCCAGGATGAAGAATAACTGACATCTTTGCTAATGAAAAGTAACAAGGTATCAGCCTTCCTGCCATTTGGCACAGTAGTGGAGGAGTGATGGTTTAGGTTATGCAACCAATGGACCTGATCACCTTGCAGTCATTGAATTGATCACAAACTTTTCTCTACAGCAACGTTTCCTGGGGTCAATTATTAGGGCTATAACACAGCAGAAGCTTTAACACTTTCGGGCTGCAATGGCCTAGTCAAAGTCCCAACTTTAACCTGATTACAAAGCTGCAACTGAAATGTAAAAAAAAAAAAAAAAAGAAGAAAAAACCTTTTTTTATAAATCAGTATCCGCAAATTTCATGACTGTAAAAGAAATGGCTCAATATTCCTTCTGAGAATCTGATTATTTTTTTCCTTTTTGTACCAAAAGCTATTGAATTATGGGTTATATTTGATTTTTACAGAGCGTCTTTGCTCTGGCTTCATTTTTATTTATTCAATTAAATAATGCATTATGCTTTTTGTGCTCAAATAGATTCAAATAGTATTACAGCTTTTCTGAAAGCTTTAAATCATGGTGTCAAAATTCCGGCTCCCAGATGGTTACCATTTGTGATCACTTTCATACCCCGAACAAATGGAGTCCCCTCCGTCCCTCAGTGAGGTCTAGAAGCACAAGATCTGTATCTTGTGAAAAGTTAAAAAGTAAAGCAAAAAAAAATTATAAACCTTGTAAACAATTATATTCAGGTATATAAAATAAAAAATGTAATTGCTATTATCAGCAATAATGCCTCTAAGGTTATGTTGTACCAAAAAAAAAAAAAGTGTTTCTTTCACTCAGAGTGTTTTTCATTATTTTCTTATTGAAGCACTTTTGTTAATTTTTCTTAATATATTCAATCAAGTTGGCATTTCTTGTTATTACATTGACATTAATATTTGCCATCAAATTACCCATATTTTTCGAATGTTACAAAGGTAATAAAGTATGGAGGACCAACTCTGCCATATTTAAAAATAATTACAGAAATAAATAAATGCTCAATAAATAAATAAGTATACAATTAATTGCCCCGAAAAATACAATAAAGAAATAAATGTAGGTAGGAATTAAATTATATAATAAGACATAAATGTTTGTAATAATAGCCTTATTTATTTATTGTCCATTATAATCTTCAACTTTATTTATTTATAACTTATTTAACTATTTAATTATGTGCATCACATACTATTTTTGACTATTTTTTTCTTTCTTTGAATTTTAGCATTGAAAAAATTAATAGGGTAAAAAAAAAAAGGCAATTATTACAAAGGCAAATAAATAAAGGAGCTTATTAAAAGAGAAATATACATTTATGTCTCACTGTATGATTTAATTTCTACCTACATTTATTTGTTAATTATATTTTTGGGGGCAATTAATTGTATGCTTATTTATTTATTGAACATTTGTTAATTTATGTATATATTTCTAATTATGGCAGGATTGGTCCTCCATAATAAGGTCTGGATTCCAATAAGACGACTGGCTGGAAATTTGGATTTTCAAAGGATTTCACTGAGTGCTCTATAAAGTGTTATTAAGCTCCTAAGTATGACAGAAAAGTAATCTGATAGTTTCTCATATATATATTTAGAATATTAACTAATGTGAACTCACTGAACATTTATCTTCTCAATGCAAGTATACCAGATTAAACATCTAAAGTTTAAATTGCAGCCACAATGGTTGAAGCTTGATTTAAAAAATAAAGCCGAATATTATCAATAGATAATATCGACACAGAATTAACTTAATATTTAAAGCCGAGTGAATTGAAAGGAGTGTCAATTTTAATCTTTAAGGTAATGTGGAAGATACATCGTTCCCTGTCAGCTAATAGAGCCAAAATTACACGAGGTTTAATGAAGAATCAACGTTTTCTCACGATTTCAGAGATTCGATGAACCAGTCGTCTAAAATATCATCAATCTCTGCTGCTTCCATCTCTCCCATCATCTCATTTTAAAAACTCTTCCTGCTGTTTTCTTTCTCCGCCACTTTCTGCTCGACTTCCTGAACGTTTGCTCCAGACAGCGGCTGGAATACAACACTGCCACCTGCTGGTGTGGAGGGGTGGAGTTTCCACTTGTTCACAGCCCAGCTGAACATTTAAGAGCAAAAAAAAAAAAAAATGTTTTATATATACAAATTATACTATGAGGAATTTTTGTAAATTCTATGGCAAGGTATTTTTTTTGTTTGGTTTTAGATTGTAAGACACAGTAAATAATAAAGATTTTATGTAAAGGAAATCATTATATTTCTTTAACATACCTTAAAATCAGATCAGAAAAACACATAGTTGACAATCAAGTGACACAAAAAGTATTTTATTAAAAAAATCTTGACATTATTAGTACCATTCTTTGTGAAAATGAGACTTATGTTGATTGAATATATATTTAGTTTGATGGCATGCTTTTTATTGGAACTCATAGTAAAAATCTGCACAAACTCTTAAAACTGCATTTATTGGTGCCGAGATATACATTTACCCACTTTTTTCAGCTCACATAATTTGAGTAAAATTCGATTTTTTTTCTCTCTTATCATTCTTCTCACTCTATGCAGTGAGTCACTGTGATACAGTTCCAGGTATTATAAGGTTTTATATCTCTAACAGCAAATTTTACCAAGATATGGCAAAGATGAAGTGCGTGTGTGTCATGGCATAATTACACACCACAGAAACAATGAGTCATGGATTAGTAACTCAAAATTCCTAAACACAGTGCAAAAAACATTTAAATCAATTTACAGGCTGTGTTTTTTCCATGTATTTCTCTGTATGTAGATGTATATATGTTAAAGATTTTTAGGCATCTTTAGCAAGTGAGTCTGCACATCTAAAGAAAGATGTTTTTTGTTTGTTTTTGCCGCAAAAAAAGAAACATACTCTCTGACTTCAATATTTCTTGAATATATAATATGACGAGAAACAAGCAATAATAAAATATCCATCCATTTTCTCCTACTTATTTAGCAGGGTGACGGTGGGGCTGAGCCTATCTCCTGCAGTCTATGTGTGAGAGGTGGTTTACACCCTATACAGGTCGCCAGTCTATCGCAGGCTAACAAAATGTGTTGCTCAGAAATATTCAATTCAATTCAGTTTATTTTTATAGCGCTAATTCGCAACACATGTCATCTCAAGGCACTTTGCAGCTCATCAGATCATACAGTCAAATTGATTTAAAGTTTTCTATCTAAGGAAAACCAGTTGATTGCATCGACTCATTGAATTAAAGGCAATCCCTCACACTAAGCAGGCTTGTAGCGACAGTGGAGAGGAAAAACTCCCTTTTAACAGGAAGAAACCTCCAGCAGAACCAGGCTCAGTGTGAGCAGCCATCTGCCGAGGCCGACTAGGGTTCAAAGAGACAGAAGCAGAGATACAAAAAGCAGCTGTAAAAGGCGGCCCAGTCCAGGAAACACACAGCCATGTCAGAGGATGAAGAGAGCACATCCAGCCAGTCACAGTCAGAGAAACAGGACTACACTGGAAAACAGGCCGATCTCCAACATCTATAAACAAAGGTGTTGATGGCAGCAGCACAGCTGATGTTTCTCTCTAGGATGGAGTCACAGCCAAACAGGAACAGACCAGATGAAGCTACTATGAGAAAAAGCAGAGAGAGCAGAACGTTAGAGATTGAACTAACAGATTCTGCAGAATAGGAGAATAGAGATAGAATGAAGCAGAATGATGAAATGGGGGTCCCTATGTCCTCGAGAAGTCTAAGCCTATAGCAGCATAACTATAGAGATAGCTCAGGATAACCTGAGCCACTCTAACCAGAAGCTTTATCAAAAAGGAAAGTTTTAAGCCTAGCCTTAAAAGTAGACAGGGTGTCTGCCTCACGGACTAAAACTGGTAGTTGGTTCCACAGGAGAGGAGCCTGATAACTAAAAGATCTGCCTCCCGTTCTACTTTTAGAAATTCTAGGAACCACTAGTAAACCTGCAGATTGAGAGCGAAGTGCTCTGTTAGGAACATAAGGAACAATCAGATCTCTGATATAAGATGGAGCTTGGCCATTTAAGGCTTTATATGTGAGAAGGAGGATTTTAAATTATGTTCTAAATTTAACAGGAAGCCAATGAAGAGAAGCCAGGATAGGAGAGATATGATCTCTCTTTTTAATTTTCATCAGAACTCTGGCTGCAGCCTTTTGGATCAGCTGAAGGCTTTTAACTACTTAAAAACATAGTCCCTTCAGCATGTTCTGGGTCTCTAACCTGACTCCGCCAAATAGATTTGCTCCGCATAACCATCTGGAAACCTTCCATTGAAGTAATTTTGGGAAGGGGCGAAAATACCAGTTAGCTGATTGGCCTATGTTGGTGATAGACGGGCCAAATAAACCAATCAGATCAACGAAGCATATGACGTACTAACAGAGCGACGACGAAAACACAACCACAAGCCAGGCTACTCTTGCCGAAACCAGTCAGGAGAAGAGCAAAAACATCTTTTCCTCTGAGAAAAGCCTCCAGAGCAGTGTTTTGCTCTTCTTTCAGTGAAGAAATACTCTGTAATTCCGATAAAACTTGCTCGATAGCCACGCTAACGCTAGTTTCATCGGCTGAAGCCGCCATGTTCTTTAGACTGAACTGTCGCGCTTCTCGTTGTGTCACACCTCAACCCGCCTCAAAGCCAACGCTGACTGGACGTTCGTTTGGTGAACGACTCCAAATTTTCTTTAACGGAGAGTCTCCAGACTGATTAGCGAGTAAAACCTTTAAAGCTCGCAAGATCAGGATGGTCTCATGAGGCTACTGGGTCTCCCCCTGGGCCTCCTCCCGGTGGGACATGCCCAGAAAAACCTCATTAGCGACACGTCCAGGAGGCATCCTAACCAGATGCCCGAACCACCTCAACTGGTTCCTACAAATTATACACAACTACAAATTATAAAATGCAATAACATATTTAAAAACCCAACAATGTATTCAAAAGCGCAACATTTCCAAAAACACACAATTCTCAGAAACAAAGGTATTTTTTTTTATTAGTCAGTGATTTCTGATTTTCTGTCAGATGGTATTATTCAAAATGCTGTGACAAAAACAGAACATAGATAATTACCTTTGCTGTGCCTTTAATGAAATCAAGAAAAACTGAACAGCAGTGCCTTACCTTGAGTAAAAAAAATATGTCATGCTTTATAAATAAGACTGTAACTAAAGATGATATTTTTATATTAGATAATAATTTACCTAAAAAAGAAACAAAGCAGCATTTACAATTCTATTGGCACGGTGCTACTCATGGTTTCACAACATTGCTCCTTGGCCCTGAGTGTTCTCCTGGACAGCCTGCTAACGGCATCCTGCCCACGCTGAGCAGCCCTCCATCACTGCAGCTGTTGTTTGCCTCCCTCTCTATCTTCCTTTCAGGAGCCTCGTCATTCTGCTCTTCCTGCTGTGTGACAGGCGGAGACAGGCGGAGATCTGAGTCACTTTCGGTAAGTCTAGAGTCTGGATAATATCATAAAATCATCTATGAATTACTGCAGGTGCATCTTAGTAAATTAGAATATATCATCACAAAAACAGGTATTTCAGTAGTTCATTTCAAAAACTGAAACTACTTTAAAAATTCAGCCCATAAAATTAAATTTAGTGAAAACCTTCATAGCTTTTATCAGTCATTCATCCATATTATACATTTTTTACACTTGGGGTGAAATATTTCATGCCTTTGTTTTCTTGTAATTTGGGAGATTCTGGTTTATAGTGATGTAAGCCCATAATTCAGTGTCCCAGATAAGTTAACTATTACACAAGACCAATAAAAATTATAGTTGACAGACAAATATCTCTTTGTTTGTGTAAATTGTTGGTTGGGTCTCCTTTTGCATGACTCATTGCATCAATGCATCACGGCATAGAGGAGTTCCATGGTTTTGTAAAGAATGGCATTCAGTCATTCCCTATTGCTGGGTTCTAGTGTCTCTCATATTCTTCCAAACAATAGTCCAGAAATCCTCTATGTAGTTAAAGTCAGGCTAACTTGACTCAGCTTTTTGTACATTTGACAATGCAGTAAACAACTACTGATGAGGCACCAGCCATCTTTTATGGAGCTGTGTGTTGGAGTAGTGACTTATGTGTAGCTGAAAGGAATGGGCTGGATCAGCTGATCAGGAAGGTCAGCTCTGTGATTGGATGCCCTCTGGACTTAGTACAGGAGGTGGGAAACAAAAGCATCCTAACTAAATGAACATCTCTGTTGGATAATGTCTCCCACCCCATGCATGAAGCTGGTGCTGAACTGGAGAGCTCCTTCAATGTCAGACTTGCTGCACCCTAAATGCACCAGGGAGCGTTATCACAGATCCTTCCTCCCAGCAGCTGTAAGCCTTTATAACCATCTCTGCTCCAAGGAACCTCAAAAAGTTGTTACATTCATGCTAATTTTAGAACAGTTTCTGTCTTAGTCAGTTAAATTACATTTTGCTCTCATTTTTTGCACATCTCTGGGTTTACTGCTATTTTCTCATATCCATTACTATAAAAAATGACGACAGCTGTTTATTGATTATTTATTCTCCTGATAAGTTCCAGTAAAACCCTGCACAGTTTAGTATTTTATTTGTTTATGTTGTTAACTTTGTCTCTTATTCTGTTATTTTATACACTTTTCTAAGGTCCATATTGTGTGAACACTTCTGCTATAACCTTTTGCTACTGCTGTAACACCACTATTTCCTCATTGTGGGACAAAAAATGATTTTCTGTTCTATTCTACTAAGTTCTGCTGGACTAATCAGAATCTCTGTCAAGCTTTATTAAGCAGAAAGCAGCTGCAGCAAGCAGAGGTGCTCCAGAAATGGCAGATTGTTGTGGTGACTGTAGACTTGAGACGTGGATGAGAACCAATTGATGACATGACCCAAAATCAGAAATGACTATGGAAACTTTTCTCTGGACTTAAAGCAACATTGATTATTTACCTCTCCACTCTTCCTCCAGACTCTGGCTTTCATCTAAGAGGATGAGTTTGCACCATTGAATAGTTTAGT